GGGGGGGGGGGGGGTGGAGGGGAAGAAGAAGCGGGTATCGAGGCTGGATATCGGGCCGGTCGTCAAAACAGTGCGATAATTTCGATGAGAATTTCGATATGAGAGATCGCTACTTTAATTCGCGAAGATCGGCGAGGGAGGGATTTTTTTTTTGCGCGCGCGCGATCACTCATAATTGACTGGGAATCATTAGCGGATCCCGGAATGTCGGAGATCACCTGTAGCAGACTAAATATCATGTGTGTTTCATGGAAACCATGTGTTCCCATCAGACGTGCATTTGGATGGTCTGCTACTGCTCGTCGTTGTGCGCGCGGTTGTTCGGCTGCATACGAGTCGCGCCCGCTCCGGTCACCGCTGCCGATACATCGACGTTTTATTGACCGTACACCGCGCACCGTGACCGTGCATAAAGTTTCTACCGTTTACGGCCGCGTTTATGCCATCGCGGGTTTTTTCCCGAATTATTTCTCATGTCGGTTCCCACTCGTCCCAGTATCTCTTGATTTACTCCAATTCTGGAGAAACGATTTATTCCAATTTTAAAGGGTCAACAAGATGGTGAAAAAAAATTTTCCGATCCATTAGATATTAACTCTCGACTTTCAGCTTTTTATATTCGACAAAAAGTATGGGAAAAAAATATCGGATACGTATAATAACTTATTTTTCCTATTACAGCCGGATTCTAAAGTTGCAGTTAAAATTAATCAACTCCCGCGTGAAAATTTTCCGTCATTTCGCGAATTTGACAGATCGAGCTCGCTCGCGAAATAACGAATCGTTCCTTCCTCGCCGTTTCATAACGTCGTAGAGCAAGTCGCGCTGGAGTAACATGGCGGGTATCGCCGCGACGGCGCCGAGAGCGCATGTACTCCGCGAACGATTCGTGCGGTTAAAGATCCGCGAGCACTCCCGCCCTGGTGGCCGAGCCAACGGGGCCGACGATGTTGTCCTGTTCCCCTCGTCGCGCATCTCGCGGGATATTATCTCGCGGTGATGAGTATCCCAGGGCGCTCTGACTCTCTCTCTCTCTCTCTCTCTCTCTCTCTCTCCCCCCCCTGTCCTCTCTCTCTATATAATATATATGTCTTTCTCTCTCGAACGCTCTGGAACGGCTCGATGCCGCAAACGACGGCGTCCGGAAACTTGGAGTGTCACGCAGATCCTACAATAATAATCCCGCGTCGCTATACGCAGAGCGAGAGAGTTCACGAGGAGTTCTTGCGTTTCGCGGAACGGTACATTGCGATTGCGATTCGAGAGGCCGCGCCGTGGTAGCGTAAGAAGTTCGATGGCGTGTCGCAGAGTGACAGTCGCATGATCCGGCGTACCGAATATAGCCGAGCGCGACACAAAACGTCACGTCGTCGCGCGCGTTGGCAGTGGGGAGGATCGCCGCCGCCGCCGTCGCCGTCGCCGTCGGTTTTCGACCAATCGCATTCGCGCTCGCATCGCACCCCGCTACCGTCGCCGCGTTATCCGTGTCGGTTCTTTCGCTTACCCGCCCATGCAAACGGCAGTGGGGACGGGTAACCCCGGGGCGAGGGACAGAAGTGCGCGAGCGGAGGGGAAACACGGCGGGGAAGTCGCTAATATCTGGGGCTCCGGCGGCCGCGCAACTCGCGCCCTAATCGAACTCTACGAGAGTCGGGTACTCTCCATCCCCACCGTCATCGTCCGCTCCACCTCCCCTCACGCTCTTCCGCTCCTTGCTCATCCTCCTCCTCCTGCTTCTTCTCCTTCTCCGCTACCACTTCCTTGGCCTCCTGATCCCCTCGCGCACCACGCGAGGGGCCACCCTTTCGCTCACTCTCGCTCGCTCTTTTCGTCAGGAAAGTACTTGAACGAGTACCAAGACCGAAGTCGTAGATAGAGACCTTGCAAGTAGTACTTTGCGAGACGGAAAATTCGCTTTTCGATCTATTCCCAAACTTGCGCGTCGCGAGCATCACACGATCGTCGCGATTTCGCCAGAGATGATTGACGTCCCCGTGGGGGATATCCTATATACTTTCACGCACACATACACACATGCAGTACTAAATTTCGATAAGAATTTCACCGGTATCGATACAATGAACCGCGTAGCTTCTGTGATAGAAGAATAGAATTAATTCAAATCGTACATGAAATCTCTACGACAATCATTCCTGTCACGGCGAGGATTATGCAATCACCGGCAAAAACTTGTTTGCTACGTTGCGGATACTTTAAGCTTTTCTTTCCACACGCGCGCGCGTACACACACACACGCGCACGCACGCACGCACGCACGCACACACACATCTGTCTGAATCCTGAGGAGGCGCAGCGAATGTGACGTCGATGTACTTAATTTCTTTCTTTAAGGATAAAATAAAATTAATCTTAATTGTATATATGAAAACTTACCCCAGAGTCAATTCCTTGAGTATTTGGTGTTGTAGCTCGCTGTTGTATATTGTGGAAAGCCTGAAAAGAAGGCACAATACCGTGAATAAACTATTTTTACATTATAGAAATGCACTGTAGACGCATACATCTCTAAACTACATATTCTGACATATCTTAATTTTCATGAAAATATTGATAGATTCTATTATGTATACATATCTTCCTAGAACATTGAAATATCTCCAATAAGTTATTTACAATGCTCAACGTGTTATAAATTTGTAAAATAAAAGGTGTAAATAAGGAATCTGCACTGCATATATATATACTATCTTAACAATTCATTTATATATCCTTTCACAAAGAATTTGTATATCCATTCACAAAGAATTTGTATATATACATCGCATTACAATATTCCTAATTAATGTTAATTTTTAAAAAACTATTGTTTTGCATCAATAATGGTTATCACATCAAGTTTATTTGCAAAAATGAGTCAATGTCAAAATCTATGTTATGCTTTTTACTTCTATAAAAAAAAAAATACTCCATTTTCGTAAACTTCCTTTCTTACGCGTAAATTATACGTTCTATATATAAATAAATTATCAATGTACTTCCATTAGAAAAATAATTGTATAGAGAGGTAAAGATGACTGAAATTTTGATACATTCCAATAATACGCTAGAGAGACTATCAACTATTAATAATTTTTATAATAATGTTCACCTGGGTCTGACTGGTAGCTTGTGGTTGCGGTGACGCAGCAGGTGGTGGAGCTGGAGACTGAGACAAAGCACGCTGTGGTGACTGACCCGATGGAGTGACCTGATTACTTGGCGGTGGAGGTGGATTTGGTGGACCGCCTTGATTCCACCCTCTTTGTTCCGTATATAAGCTTGAGGGATGACTGGTTTGCGTCGTATAAGAGTTTAGCTAAAAAGATTGAAGAAAATATCATGTAGAAACATTGATTCGATTGGCTACATCTTTTCGATATTAATATACAAGAATTAAATTAAAGTCACAGATTGAAGGCAAGGCATTTGTTTACCTGATGATGACTATAAGGTGCGTGAGGTCTCGTAGGTGAAGAATATCGTTGGGTATATTGTTGATATTGCATGGGTGTTGGAGAACTCTGTGCTCCTGGTCCTGTATGTAATCTCGGTGAACCCTGATAG